CCAGTTGGTTGAATGAACCCAGGCCCTGGGCCGCCTGTGTGAATGAACGAAGAACAGGCCCTGGGCTGGATTCAGGTACCGGGCCGAGCACAGGCCGAAAGCAGTTGGGCGCATGCAACCACTTCAGGCCCAAGGCCTGCTTTCCTCGTGACTGGGCCTCAGGCTACCGGGGCCTACTGGAAGCTTCCTGGACTGGACGCAGGCAGGCCACTTCAATATAGGGAAGGGCCTGCCTCTTATTCGACATTCGGGTGCTGGCTGCATGCTGCGCGCGAGCGCTGCTGCGCTATCTGCTGGCTGGCTGGCACTCACGCTCTCACGGGCGAGTAGGGAAGGAGCACGCAGCCATAGCCAAGCTGCGCTGCTGTATGCTGGGTGAAGCGCAGGGTGGTCCTTGGGTGCTAGTGGCATCTGTGAGTTGGGGAACGAGGTTGTGAGGGTAGCGCAAGACGTACCTGGTGCTGAAGCGTGCGACATTGGTCGCCATATGCTCGTACTTCGGGAACGCTGTTGATGTCATCATTCTGCTTCGTAGTATAGGCTAGATAGGATCTGCCACATGTAGTCTGGGCGCCGAGCGCCAATAGGATATCAACTCTGGTTCTTCGCTGATGATGATGGGACTACTTCAGCATTGTCAATGATGAACTCTTGGTGTGTTCTTATTTGGTGTATCTCGTGATGCAATTCTGCGTTTGGTTCGAGGTCAAGACTATCTGGACTCATATGTATGATGCTGTTTGATTGTTGGAGTTCGCTATCACTCATCTTCCTTGCAATTTTCGGCAATTCCTAAATATTTCCCTACTACCACCCTTTCTTAACGTATTTTTTCTTTTGTGAGTTCAATTCTTCTTTTTGTTTTTTTTTGTTGATGGAATACGATAAAGTTTCAAGTGTAGTATATTAACTCTATCTTACTTTGTGCCCTCAGCATATCATCAGGATGTGTTCTATCATCTCTGCCTACACTTTCCTGCTCAGGAAGCGCCCAGACAATGATGGCTTGAGCATCATTGAAGTGGTTTTGGCTGTTGGCCAACCTCAGTCCTATCAATGATCCAGCTCATTTTATAAGAAGGCAGCACAATGTTCAGTCTGCCGCTTTTGTAGCATCCTGAATTTAGCTGGCCGAAAAGACTCAAAAGAGTGGTATACCAGGTACAGAAACCAACTCGTTTTGAGCACTTCCACAGACACGGGTAGGTGCTTGTGCTACATCTCCTTTTTTTTTTTTTTGTATAAACAAACAGACGACCCCTTCTATTCTGGGTGGAACAACAGTCCGCTTACTTATTACTGGCAAGCATAGAAGTTTTATACGGAATCAATGAAAGGAACGGAAAAGAGGGCAGGGCAGACTTATCCCAGCCGGGGGGAGACCCCCCATGGTACATCTCTAAGAATACTGTTCTGGAGACCTTTTCCGCTTCTCAGCAACCCATAACCATCTTAAACCACCACTACCTTTCGAGAACCGATAAGTTGCGATAACGTAACATTCCGAAGACTTCAGATGATGAACTGTGCTAAAGGACCAAAATGGTTGGCAGTGCAACCCAAGAGGGAAAAAAAAAAAAAGGTCACCGTGGCGTTTCTGCAGAGCTTGGCGCGCAGGGGGAATCTGCCTCGCCAAAAAAACGGTTCGGAGGTAGTGGTGGTTTTAAACCACCAGCACCTTTCCCAGCTGTTTTGTTCCAACACAGCCACTAATGTGCCACTTATTTCAGGCCTCGGCCTATCAGAATGAGCTGGCGGGAAGCGCCAGGCACAAAAAGACAAAGAATTTGAAAGAAAAGAAAAAGAAAACGCCTGCGCGGGTCCATCTTTTGGTGGCCCGAAGCAGAAATCCGCATCCGGGAAAATAACTGAGAGGTACTGGTGATTTGACTGTGTAGTCCCAGATCGGGATGGTTCTGCCCTCCTGTTCCCATTGCCATTCCCAAGGATCAAAGGGGAGGGCCGAGAGATCTCTCCTCATAGGCTACATTTCTTGCATTCCTTACTCTTCCTATCTTCCTTACTCGGTGTGCTCTCAAGACTCTACTCCGGAAACTGATTCTTCTGATATCCATCTGTCGCACTCCTCTTTCCTTACCCGCTCAGAGGTCCTCTGTACCAGAGATACCAATCCATAGGCCTCAAACCACCAGTAGATGCAAGCCTCTTTTGTACGACGCGGATTCCCCCAGCGTGCCAAGCTTTGCCAAAACACCAGCTCGGCGTTTTTCTTTTAGTTCTCGTTTTGGCTGGCGCCACCCGCCATTTGGTCGGGTTGTGCCAAGCCTCCCAGTTTTTCAGATTCAGCCGATCGTCGTTCTCAAGTTGCCTGGGGCCATGTAATGGTGGTGCAAGTCTGAGACTCTGAGTCTTCCACCCAATTAACTACTTCAACTATCCAGTCCTGATCCTTAAGCCACCAGTCAGTCCAAGACTCCTTTTTCCTCTGCTCTGCACTGCCCAGCCTAAAAGAAAATGGGCCGTCGTAAGTGTGATATTGTCTGGTGCAGCTGGTAGTTTCTCTCCAGTAGGCCCGAGCCACGATTTCGTGCCGCGTTAGCCGGTGCATGGGAACAACATAGTTGGGCAACGAACTCTGTGGCTATTCAATGAGCTCTCTTCTTCTCCCCACGCGGTTCTTTAGGATCACCAGGCTGGTCAGAGAGTCAAACACCTCTTGTATGGTATGACAGCCTTTGAGCTGGCTCTTTAGCTGTGCTGCAGTTTTCTAGGACTTGGTAAGGATATCCCAGATTCCCAGATATAGAAACTGT